AAAAAGGCGAAGTGAGATGGGCCCCATACCGGGGCACCCTCTACTGCGACCGACGACAGTGTGGGCACCGCGGCGAAAGTCGCAGAGCCTTCAGCTGGAGGTTTTGATGTTCCTATGCCAGATGCAAATCGGCTGCCATTGCATGGGTCAAAATTCGTTGATGCAGTGCACCCGGCCGAGCAGTTTTGCTTGAATTGCGTGCATGCCCGTCCTCAGGACATTCTGCCTTTGATTTCACTTTTGGAGAGTGAAACACCGAGCAGAGGCCAATCTGGCCCGAATACTTTTTCGTGGACTTCTGGTGCCTATGCCAAGGGCCCCCTGCGAGGTCTAAGAAAGCATACGAGTGCTTTCCCAGCCTGTACGCGCTTGCTTTGTCAGCTTGTGCTTCGAGTTTTCCCAGATGCAGATTTTTCTGCTGTGGCAGTCTTTAAGAACCTTAGGACTTCTTTGCATGTTGACATAAACAACGAGGTGGACTCGTGTAATTACTTGATTCCGGCTAGTAACTTCGAAGGAGGCGAAGTGTGGCAGCAGGGTCCTGGTACACATGTCGTGCAGGACGAGCTGGGATACAACCTCACAGGCTCATTGCTGCGGGTTGCGGATGGGCCTTGTGTCTTGAACCCCAGGGTCACACATTGCACCTTGCCTTGGACCGGGGATAGGGTTTTAGTTGTCGCCTTCAAGCCCGCGCATGCTTCCGAGTTGTCGCTTGCTTTTCGTGAACAGCTCATAGGGCTGGGCTTCCCGGCTAAATCGTTTGAGAAGGCACCAGCCGACCAACTTGGACCGGGAAACCCCAACGTGCAACATCCCTTGAAGGAAGCAGACCAGAACTTTACTTCGAACCCCAACGTGCAACCCGATGTTCCTATGTCTTGCGAAGTGACCGCCCCGAATGCTTCTTCGAACTCCAACGTGCATTCTGCTGTGCACTCAGCTATCAAGCAGAATCCTCTTGATGCCGATGTCAGGTGGCATGACCCTTTGATCCTAGAGTTTTTCTCGGGAAACGGTCGTGTTACCGCCTGCATGAAGCAGCTAGGCCTCTCGGCCTTCGGGGTTGATGTGGACCCTTCGACTTCAGTCACAACCTGTTTGCCTGCCGATCTGTCCACAAGCAGTGGGCAGGCTCTTTGTCGAGAGTGGTTGCTTCTCCTAGGCTGGCTGGAATTTTTGCAACTCCTCCTAGTCGTGGGTCGACCGCTGCAGCGGCCACTGCCTTTTTGGCCGAGCTCGTTCTGGAGGCAATACCTAGAGGTGTCATCTGTGTGATAGGTGGGCATATTGATGCTGACTACTGGCAGACGCCTTCTTGGGCTAACATTTCTTCCAACTTTTCTTTCGTCTCATGCCATGACTGTGCTTACGATGGCATGCATTTGAAGGCAACGGTGTTCGCCACTTCCAATAGAACTTTTGATAGGCTCGCGAGGTTCTGTCAGGGTCCCTCCTGCAAAGCCAGCAAATGCTGCCAAAGCACCGAGTCTGAGGTTGCAGCCTACCCTACACGCCTTGCCATGCAGGTTGCATGTTGTTTTGCAGAAGCCTTCAAGCTCCAAGGATGGTCAGCGCCGCCTTCTTGTTTCGATGCATTCGATCCTCGGCTTGAGGTTCCAATGTCGAGAGCGGTGGCAGGAGCCCAACCTCCTGCTAGCAAAATGCCTCCAATCGTGCCTGAACACAAGCGTGTGCTCGTTTTTCGACATCCACCTGGTCTTGACTTGCCTTGTCAACCAATGCAACGTTTGAAAGCCGACTGGCAGGTGCCGGCTTCCTGCAGCCTAGGCCCGATCACTGTGCCTGCTAAAGCACAGCTCTTAAGACATGTTCCAATTGCTCAAGTTGGGGGTGATTGCGAGGACCTTTTGAGGGTTGGGTCTTGGGAAATGGCCTGGGGGATTCCCTGGGAACCTGAGGAATTTATGGAAGAGGCGAACTCGGCAACTCATCCGAGGACACTGGACTCAGTGGTGCCTCAACCCCTCAAGGAAACTCTGGATGCTTTGGAAAACATGGATGATGCTGAAGTGACAGCCCTGCGTGCTAAGCTCATAAAAGAGTGGATGCACTTGGCAGTTTCCTTGTCTGCCGAAGAAGATGCTCTGAAGTCGTCGATGCATCAGGATGTGTGCTCGATTACAAAGAGTAAGCGTATTCTCTTGTGGGAAGCTCTTTTAGAAAAATATTCTTACCCCGACCCGAAGGTTTCTGGCCTTCTAAGAGAGGGAGTCCCCCTCGTAGGTCATGCTCCGATTTCTGGAGTTTTTAAGCCCAGATTTAAGCCCATGCAGGCCACACCCAGCCAAGTTAGGGAGGATTTTCTTTTCTACCACAAAAAGGTTCATAAATCCTTAAAGCCCCAGGAGCCCGCCTTAATGCGTGAGGTTGCTGCTAAAACGCAGAAGGAGCTTGATGCAGGCTGGATCGTTGGCCCCTTGCGAGAGTCCGATCTAAGCGACGGGATCCTGGTGAGTAGGCGGTTCGGTTTGCAACAAGG